CACTTTATACTCTAGGTTCTTACTCTTCTGTAAAATGAGACATCTATAGCAAATAATGGACTGTACAACTGTGTGATTTCATATAATGAGGTTAGTTTACTGAGACTTAATGTCCTGGAACCAGGCTAAAATTTCATTCTACATGAAACACATTGTCTCAATCTAAAGAGGCACTGTTTTGCATTGTAGGGTCTTAGCTAGCTACCAGTGAGCTGGTTACCATCTCCCTATATCTGCAATAATGCACAAAGTCGTATTTCTAGGATTTTCTTCCTCCATTAAAACTGAAAAGTAAGCATATGATCTAGACAATAAGAAACAATTGAAAATATTATGATTTATGTATTCAACATGTTTATTTACTGGCTGCCTATCATACAAGATGACATTTTTACTCTATATTTTTATCCATAAATCACTATTGCATTAATGAATATCATGTAATTTAACAGGTATATGTAGGTTTAACCTGTACAGTTTGACCTTAATTGATCATTATATACATGTAAATTATATATATATACTGTAATTAACCTGACTGATGTTTCATTTATATAGCTTGCTGTATGATCAAGCATTTGTGTATATTGTTTATATTATGTTTTCCGCCCACTTAGATTCAACCTTTATCCATTAACCATAGATTTGTTAACTGTTGTTCCTTTTTCCTTTGGATTTATGAATATATCTGGTTTGTATTTACCATCGTTTGCAGTTTGTTGGTTGTGTTTTCCTAGGAAATACTTTTTTTATACTATATTGAAATGCATATTAAAATATTGTTAAACTAAAATATGAATATAAAAGTATTTGATTATATTTCACTATGTATGATTATTTATTCATTCAGCTATTTCCTTAGATAATTAGAGTCAATGGTGAAAAATTGATAGGGAACCTGTTGAAATGTTATTATGTTCACTTTAAAATGAACCTGTTGTAATGTTATCATATTCACTTGATAAGGGAACCTGTTGTAATGTTTTCATGTTCACTTGAAAGGGAACATGTTGTAATATTATCATGTTCTCTTGAAAGGGAACCTGTTGTAATGTTTTCATATTCACTTGATAAGGGAACCTGTTGTAATCTTATCATGTTCACTTGAAAGGGAACCTGTTGTAATGTTTTCATGTTCTCTTGAAAGGGAACCTGTTGTAATATTATCATGTTTACTTGAAATGGACCCTGACTGTTGTAATATTATCATGTTCACTTGAAAGGGAACCTGTTGTAATGTTTTCATGTTCTCTTGAAAGGGAACGTGTTGTAATATTATCATGTTTACTTGAAATGGACCCTGACTGTTGTAATATTATCATGTTCACTTGAAATGGACCGACTGTTGTAATGTCACATGTTCACTGGAAAGGGAACCTGTTGTAATGTTATCATGTTCACTTGAAAGGGAACCTGTTGTTATTTTATCATGTTCACTTGAAAGGGAACCTGTTGTAATTTTATCATGTTCTCTTAAAATGGAACCTGTTGCAATACTATCATGTTCACTTGAAAGGGAACCTGTTGTAATGTTATCATGTTCACTTGAAATGGACCCTGACTGTTGTAATGTTATCATGTTCACTTGAAATGGAACCTGTTGTACTGTTATCATGTTCTCTTGAAAGGGAACCTGTTGTAATATTATCATGTTCACTTGAAAGGGAACCTGTTGTAATGTTTTCATGTTCACTTGAAAGGGAACGTGTTGTAATCTTATCATGTTCACTTGAAAGGGAACCTGTTGTAATGTTTTCATGTTCACTTGAAAGGGAACCTGTGTTGTAATGTTATCATGTTCACTTGAAATGGAACCTGTTGTACTGTTATCATGTTCTCTTGAAAGGGGACCTGTTGTTATGTTATCATGTTCACTTGAAAGGGAACCTGTTGTAATGTTGTCATGTTCACTTGAAATGGAACCTGTTGTAATATTATCATATTCACTTGAAAGGGAACCTATTGTTATGTTATCATGTTCTCTTGGAAGGGATCCTATTGTAATGTAATCATGTTTACTTGAAATGGAACCTGTTGTAATGTTATCCTGTTCACTTGAAATGGAACCTGTTGTACTGTTATCATGTTCTCTTGAAAGGGGACCTGTTGTTATGTTATCATGTTCACTTGAAAGGGAACCTGTTGTTATTTTATCATGTTCAATTGAAAGGGAACCTGTTGTAATGTTATCATGTTCTCTTAAATGGAACCTGTTGTAATACTATCATGTTCTCATGAAAGGGAACCTGTTGTAATGTTATCATGTTCACTTGAAAGGGAACCTGTTGTAATATTATCATGTTTTCTTGGAAGGAAACCTGTTTTAATATTATCATGTTCACTTGAAATGGAACCTGTTGTAATGTTATCATGTTCTCTTGAAAGGGAACCTTTAGTAATGTTATTATGTTCACTTTAAAGGGGACCTGTTGTAATGTTATCATGTTTTCTTAAAGGGGAACCTTTAGTAATGTTATCATGTTAACGTGAAGGAGAACCTTTAGTAATGTTATCATGTTCTCTTAAAAGGGAACCTGTTGTGATGTTATGCTCTCTTAGTTACCTGTTATAATATTCTTTTGAAAGGTGGTATCTGTTATAATGTCAACATTTTTAGAAACTACTGAACATATAATAGATAAAACAATAATTTTATAAGACAGCCTACATAAGGGTTAGTATTTCACATTTTTTTGTCCTACACATTTTTGAGAGGCTTCTAATGTGCTTGCAGAGTTAACTTAAAAAATAAAGTGTCTGTGGTGCACCTTGGGTCTTTCATCAACAGTAAAGCTGAAAAGTCATTATATGATCTCTAATATATGGTGCAAACCCAACTCACAGCCCCAGCCCCTAGAGTTAGCCTAGGAATGAGATATTGAAATCAAACTTGGTATATAACAAGCTTATATGAAGACCCAAGTTGGGATTACTTTTGGACCCCTGGGGTCAAGGTCTCTGTTACTAAAAATAGAATAATTGTTTCTGGACAATAGCAAGAGTTAGAAATGAGTTATTGTAATCAAACTTGGTATATAGCAATGTTATGTGAAAACATGGGGTGGGATTGCTTTTGGGCCCCCTGGGGTCAAAGTTACTGTTAGCAGTTACTAAAAATATATAAATGGTTTCCGGACGATACCTCATGTTAGGAATGAGATGAGTATATAGAAAGCTTACTAGGAATTGCTTTTGGATGATAACCTAAGTTAGCAATGTGATATTGTAATTAAACTTGATATATAGCTTAATATGTGGATACCTATCTTTGGACTACCTTTGGACCTCCTTATGTCAAGGTCAATGTTACGGTTTACACTAAAAATCTAAAAAGAGTTTATTGAAGATAACTATAGTTAGGAATATGATACTGTAATGAAACTTGGCATTTAGCAATTAGCTTATGAAGAGACCTAGCTTTGTTTTATTGTTGGACTCCCTGAGGTTCAAGGTCACTATGGTTTCTGGAAGATAGGCAATTGATTATAATAATTATTGGCACACAGATTAAATAAGGTTGAGTTCAAATTTTACCTCAGACCACCTATTTTTCAAAAACAAATGCAAAAAAGAATAAAGAAGAACTAAGGTCAATACTGGGTCAAGTTTTAACTATATTTAGACTATATACAGGGTTAGTTGATGCGGTGCATCAACTAACCCCCCTTTACATGGACTAACACCCCATAGTTGATGCCAGGCAGCAACTAACCCCACATTAGATGAACTAACCCCACTAAGTTGATGTGCCGCAACAACTAACCCCCCCTTAGATGAACTAAATCTCAGGAAATGATTTTTAAGTGTATTCCAGGTTTAATAATTATTCCATCTTCAGATAATACTCTGTTGATAGAATAACATTATGATAAATAATGTTATTATCTTAACATGTACTGTACAGTAACTCATTTGATCCTGAATGATATTCTCTTTTATTTTGTTGTCCGGAATGCCTCATGAATTGATTGTTTAGAGGCTTTAAGACTCTCATTCTTTCTGCACAAAAATGGAATCTTTGTGGCGCTTTTATGATTAATATTTGAAGATCTGATAGACACTTTAGATTAGACCATAAAATCATACCATTACTGTCAGGCCATAAAATAAACTATATAGACTTGTGTCAATAAAATGTTTATACACAGTTCTTGCTGAGTAAATTGGAGAATTTCATTACTGCACGGCATGCAGGCAACAGACTTACCTCGGACCAGACTATATGCAAAATAGGCTAGTTTTGTCTGTTTTCAGACTGATGTGAAAAAGTAGATTTGACTTAACTTAATGCACTGGGCTGGGAATCAGAACTGTGTTATATGCTTCATTTTGTAAACAATTTTGGCCATTTTGGAAATGCAAAGATTTTGTCTTATACTTTTTCTATCATAAATGTCTGATAATGAGATATATAATGTCAGCACAGCTCCTCATTTTGCCACTTCATTTGATGTCTGTGATGTCTGTGACTTGCAAATCCATTTTGGAGAGCATTTTTGTTCCTCAGACTGCTTTTTAAGTTTATTCATTTTGAGTACATTTACAGAATATTTGATAAAAAGTTCAAATCAAATATATGAAAATTTTGCCTGTGTCTCCCTTTAAGATATTTGATGTATACCATGGCCAAGTGGTAACATGAAAATTTGTTCAGAGGGAGAAAATTCTGGAAATATTGCTTCTAGAGTTGTGAACCTTGGATGAGGAACATTTCTTTGAAGTTTGAAGTTGATACCATAAGAAATAAAAAAAAATTTACTGCACAAAAACTTTAATCTGAAATCTGGACAGGAACATGTCGGGACTGGAAATATTTTCTGAGATTTTTGTATCATTTGATGTAAGTCCAGACCAATCATTTGCGTGTAAATTTTCATTCCTCACAGTTTTCCATCATTTTTATTGTGCAAAATGACATGTAGATAAAAAGTGGGCTAGAAATTGCACAAAAAAAATAATTTTCAATTTATTTCTGAGTATATTATTATTATCTTTTGCAGATTTTGTCCATTGTTTAAGTGTTTCAGTTGATCTAAGGTATGTCAGAATTTCAAATGTTTTTAGGTTGTTGACCTCTAATATCAATTCTATCCTCCCATATTTTGTTGTTAGTCTATTAATATGATTATATATATATATGGTTTATATATGCTACAAGATTGAATACAGGGTTTTAGGGCATAAATTTACATCTTATGGTTATCATGTTTTATCATTTTGTTGAAATATACTGATTTACAAACTTTCATAGTGATTATATTATAACATAAATATCAATCAGATAGTCATAACAATTGTCAAGAATAGTTGTTAATGACAAACTATTTACTACAGCTTGACCAGTAACTAAATTTATAGGTCACTTGTGACAGTGTGACAATAGGCATGATTATAATGATTTTGTAATTCTTATTTACTGTATAAATTCTTATTTTTGCGGGCTACATATTTTACTATTTTTGTTAAAACAAAGGGTACTAAAATGTCTGTATACCTTATTCCTGCAGCTAAATTGACCTCCCCCTGACATGTTTCATTAATACAGTCCAAACTATTGTTGTAAGAAAGCAGTTTATGTCATGATTTTTATTAACATGTATTATTTAAGTCAAACCGATACTGTAATGATCGTATATTCCATGTTTACTGAGTGATGTCCCTTCATGCATATATTCAGGAACTAGCAGGCATATGAGTACAAACACAAATGTTAAGTCTTGTGACAATTAGGTCCAAAAGGGCATTGGTGGTGACATACTTTTTTGAATGAAATTCATGAAGAACTAAATCCAGTTTGTTGAAAAGTATAAAAAAACAAAGCAAAAACAAAACAATAATTTAAAAAATGCCTTTTCCAAGATTCAAACCAGGATCTCTGCACTTTCGAAGCAAACACTCTACCTCTGCACTATTATGCTGGGTATAAATGAGCAATGGCTCAGGTTGTAAAAAGATTTAGGAGATAAATAATATATTTTATATCACCGCTATACAATGTCATGTAAGTCAATATTAATGTACGGAATAGTGAATTTGAGCTACATGTATATGCGATGCAAAAATATTGAATATTTGAGTGCTTTCTTCATATTTATACATAAATATGATAAGAATGTTTACTTTTTTCAGATTTTTATTTCTTCCTTTACTGTGTCTAGTATTTAATTTGTCGAGCATTCTGTTTCCTCTGACAGCTCTTGTGATCTTGTCAATATCCATCCTGATATAAACCTGAATATTTGTATGTATTATATACTAGACATACCAATACATAATGTATAACATATGACAATATTTCACAGTATTTTAATGTTCTTTTTGAATGATATAAGTTTGCATGTGAAAATTTACTAAATCATGAATACCTAGGTACATTGACAGGTTCTTACAAAACAATAAGAATTTTAAACATTTGTATTGATGAATTTATTGCCAGGATTTCTGACTCTGGAATGATTGTTTATTGTGTAGGAAGCAAACACTTGAATTTATTAACACCCACCTCTTTTAGCAACAGACAATAAACACTTTGTGCATTGTTAAAAAATAGCTTTGTAACCTCCATAAACAATTTCTGTGTTTCACTTTAATATACAGTAGAACTTCTATGAGTCAAACTTCGATTAGTCGATTTTCTCGATGTGTCGAAGAAAAATTAAAGTCCCGACTTTTCCCCCTATATATTCCTTATAAAAACCTATTTATGAGTCGAGATTTTATGTGTCGAATTTTTCGATGTGTCGAGTTTTTTTCGTGGTCCGTGTTAAGTAAATCTAGTGCAATTTATCACAAATAAGTCGAAGTTGTTCGATTATTTTGACACCGTCGATCTCGAGACATTTTTCACACCTTATCTGGCTGTGAAGACGATTTCCTATCAGTTTGTGTGACAGGTGTTAATGACACAGCCGTGTGTTCAAACAGCCTTTGTTTGCGATAAAATGCGTTAATCGTTACTATTTTAATTTCCATAGTGGTATTTGAAAGTAAACAGTAAGAACTACTTTCATTTGATTACATCCTTGACCCGGTGTCGCGTGAGAATAACATGCGAAATATATACTAAAAGTTGGTTATGTTATCGCCCTTTCGTATTGTTAACTTTTTTACCTTTTGTAACTCTATTGTATACGTCAACGGGTTGTCCATATAATTAGCCGTGAAAAACGTTATTTAACATGCTATATTTATCATTGTAAAATGTGAATATCAGATTAATGATGGAAAAAACATGAAATAGGTTTCGTTATAGACTAGTCACGGGTCGAAATTTTGTCATGGAATTGAGAGCGATTCATGAGTCGAAGTCCCGATGTGTCGAAGTTTTTACGCAAGTCCCTTCAACTTCGACTTACCGAAGTTCTACTGTATATACATTTACTCATCTTGGGCTGAGAACCTACTTATTGAGCAAATGTGTTTGATTTTATAACATTTGCTTGCTTAATCACAATGATAATAGTTTAAGATAAATAAAAAAAAGATTTTTAGATTAATAAGCATTTAGTTTATTATATATTATGTAACTTAATGCGTTTTATAATACATGTATAGGAACAAGTTAGTCCTTATAAGAGCAATGTTGTAAGAAGGGGCAATGTTTAGTTATCTTGTAGTTTCTATTAAAACATGTTCAGGTAGTATGCATTAGTCCTGGAAAGTGATTGATGTTGTAAAAGAAAGTGTAATGACAAACAATCCTAAGTAAGGGTGTTGTGAATTTAAGTTCTATAACTGTAAAAGCACATGACAGTTACCATAAGTTCTGAAAAGTTCTGAGGACCTAGAAGAACATAAGTGGTGACAATTAGTTCTAAAAGTCCATCTGTTGAAAACATGGGAGAAGAAATAAAAATAGTTTGAACCAATAAGTTTCTTAAAGAGCATTGGTAGTGAAAGTTAGTTTTAAAATAGAAAATGCGATAGCAATAAGTTCCAAAATGGCATTGGTGCTGACAATTAGCTCTTGAAGGGGATTGATATTTTTCAAGGATTTAGGTGGTGACAATAAGTTCCAAAAGGGCATTAGTTGTGACAATGTAAACTGTTTGAACCAGTAAGTTTCTTAAAATGCATTGGTGGTGTCAGTTAGTTCTAAAAGGGCATCATTGTTGGCCATACAAGCATTAAATTAGTAATGACAAGAACTACTTCAAGGGCATTGATGATGACAATAAGTTCTTCAAAGGCATTGATGGTGACAATAAGTTCCAGAAGGGCATTGATGGTGATAATAAGTTCTTCAAGGGCATTGGTGGTGACAGTAAGTTCTTCATGGGCATTGATGGTGACAATAAGTCCTTTTAGGGCATCGATGGTGACAATAAGGTCCAAAAGGGCATTGATGGTGACAATAAGTTCTTCAAGGGCATTGATGGTGACAATAAGTTCGTCAAGGGCATTGATGATGACAATAAGTTCCAAAAGGGCATTGATGGTGACAATAAGTCCTTTTAAGGCATTGATGATGACAATAAGTTTCAAAAGGGCATTGATGGTAACAATAAGTCCTTTTAGGGCATTGATGGTGACAATAAGGTCCAAAAGGGCATTGATGGTGACAATAAGTTCTTCAAGGGCATTGATGGTGACAGTAACTTCTTCAAGGGCATTAATGATGACAATAAGTTCCAAAAGGGCATTGATGGTGACAATAAGTGCTTCAGGGGCATTGGTGGTGACAATAAGTTCTTCAAGGGCATTGGTGGTGACAATAAGTTATTCAAGGGCATTGATGGTGACAATAAGTTCTTCAAGGGCAATGGTGGTGACACTAAGTTCTTCAAGGGCATTGATGATGACAATAAGTTCCAAAAGGGCATTGATGGTGACAATAAGTCCTTTTAGGGCATTGATGGTGACAATAAGTTCTTCAAGGGCATTGATGGTGACAATAAGTTTCAAAAGGGCATTGATGGTGACAATGAGTTCTTCAAGGCATTGATGGTGACAACAAGTTCTTCAAGAGCATTGATGGTGACAATAAGTTCTTCAAGGGCATTGATGATGACAATAAGTTTCAAAAGGGCATTGATGGTGACAATAAGTCTTTTTAGGGCATTGGTGGTGACAATAAGTTCTTCAAAGGCATTGATGGTGAAAATAAGTTTTCAATGGCATTGGTGGTGACAATAAGTTCAGAAAGGGCATTGGTGGTGACAATAAGTTCAGAAAGGGCATTGGTGGTGACATTAAATTCTAAAAAGGCATTGGTGATTAGTTTCAAATGGGCATTGGTTCCAAAAAGGCATTGATGGTGATAATAAGTTTCATATGGGCTTTGGTAGTAACAATTAGTTCTTACAGAGCATTGGTGGTGACAGTTCTAAAATGGTATTGGGGTGACAATTAGTTGTTCCAAAGGGCGTTGGTGGTGACAATTAGCTCCAAACAGGTATTGGCAATGACAGCTAGTTCTAAAAGGGCATTGGTGGTTATAATTAGTTTTAAAGGCCATTGGTTGCAACAATTTGTTCTAAAAAATCTCAGCCAGTGACAGTTTGTTCTAAAACAAGTACAAGAAAATGGTTAGTGACAATTTATCTAAATAGGTAAGTGACAGTAACTTGTAAAAATGTTCAAAGGCAGTGATAAAAAAGAGATGATTTGAGCAAGGGAGAAATGTGTTTTTCTAAATGATTAAGAGGTAATAAAGTATGACAAGTAGTTATGGGCAGTTGCATCTGAGTGAATAAAAACATAAAATGCATTCTTTTGAATGTTTAAACATGTGATATCAAGATTGAAAAAGAATACTTGTAAGTCAAAAGTGGTATCTTGAAGATGCAAAAATCGGGAAAGCATAAAATAAATCATTATAATGACCTTTGTAATAGTGATGTGACTTAAAATCCTTTATATAAAAAAGAGGTTTAATGTATCTGATATGAGTTAATTGGGAATGGAAATATAGGATGATGAAATTTAATCATGTGTGTAGACAGTTAAAGAAGTAGGAGAAAGTTTGCTTTAAAGCTGTTTTCATTTGATTGATGCAGTTTACAGCTGATTTGATAGAGAAGAAAAGTTTGATGTGT